CAGCACAATTATAATTCAAGAGATAAAAATAATAGAGAATTTTGGTTGCTCTTGTTTGATATGCGTGTGAGTGTTATGTGGATCCATCTACATCATCTCCTATAAATAGCAGAAGTATTTGATTCGTTGGAGACATAAGAACTTATTTTTGAATGGTTGATTATTTGAGGTGTTAATGTTCTTTCCAAAAATACAGATCCTGTCTAGTTCCATTTGTTACTTCGATCCAGTAATATCTTGTCATAAATGTAATGTTGGATCTTCAGTCCTTTAAGAGTTTCTTGAGCTTGACTGCATGTAATCAGAACTTTGAATGTGACAGATACATTGAAGCTTCTTTGTTCTTCAAAATTTCACTTATCAGAGTATAGCTTGCAGCTTGGTGCTTCAGAAGTTATAACATCAAAACTCTTTTCTTTAGGCGTGTTGCTTCTAAGTTGTATGCATATTCTGATCAGAGTTTCATCGTGTGATTCAGTCGTAATCTTCTATTCTTTTTCATCAGAACTTCTTTTTACATTTAATCAAACGATTAGAGAGCATAATTATTCTTCATAATAATTATGTATTTGTTATCATCAAAACTAATACTTAGATGTAGAACCAAACTGTGTTCTAACATAATATGGTACGTAGCATGCTAAAGGGCAAAATCTACCGAAAGAGTTGTGGGGGGGAGTCGTGTCTACAACCGCCTATTTTTTTAATAAGTGCCCTACAAAGAAGCTGGACAAAGTGACTCCCGAAGAGGTATGGACAGGTTCTAAACAAAGTTTGAGTCATTTGAGAGTTTAAGTTCGTTGGCTTTTGACATATTCCGGGTCAACTTTGAAAGAAGTTGGATGACAAAGGAGAGATGAAGTTACTAGTTGGTTATCATCCTACCGGTGGCTAAAAGTTGTTTGATGTGAGTAGCAAGAAGATTGTAATCAGTCGAGATGTGGTGGTGGACGAGTTAAGGTTGTTTGAAAACAGAAAAAATGTAGGTTCAATAGCAGAAATCAGTTTCTCCATGGAAGGAAATTGGTTTCCTTCACGATTTCTGCATACAGGAAATGATTTTCTTGACAAAGAAACTGGTTCCCCTGTTCCTGGAAATCGATTTCCACCAGATAATGTAGAAAATCAGCAGCATGTAGAACCAGTCCCAAATCCGATCAAATTTGAGAATGGTGAATCCATCAGACGACCAACAAGATGCAGAGGTCTACCACAAAGGCTCTGAGATTGTGAAGTATTCCATGACAATGATATCAATGATGATGGTGATCTTATTCACTTTATGCTTATGAATGAATACGAGCCCATGAGAACGGATGAGGCATTAAGTGATCCAAAGTGGGTGTGTGTGATGAAAGAGGAGCTGAAATCGATTAAGAAAAATAGTAGTTGGGAGTTGGTCGATTTACCGGAACGAAAAAAGCCAATAGGAATGAAATGGGTCTATAAAGTGAAGGCAAATCCAAAAGGCGAAATTGTCAAGCATAAGGCGCTACTATTAGCGAAGGGATTTATGCAAAGAGAAGATATAGACTATGATGAGGTGTTTGCTCTGGTGGCTAGATTAGAGACTATACAAATGGTTGTTGGTAGTACGCATAACAATAATTGGTCAATGTATCAAATTGATGTAAAATTCTCATTTTTGAATGGCCCGCTTGAGGTAGAAGTCTATGTAGAACAACCCCTCGGCTTTGTGGTGAAGAATCAAGAGGGAAGAGTCTACAAGTTGAAGAAGGCTCTCTATGGTTTGAAACAAGCATCTAGAGCTTGGAACAAATGCATAAATGGTTTTTTAATTGAGGTTGACTTCAAGAAGTGTGTATTCGAATATGGTGTGTATGTGAAGACAGGTGCAAGCAAAGAGGTGGTTATACTTTGCTTATATGTGGATGAATTATTTATTACGGGAAGCAATGAAGTGAAGATTTATAAGTTCAAGAGTGAACTTATGGAAGAGTTTGAAATGAGTGACCTTGGAATTATGAGTTACTTTCTTGGCATAGAGTTCCATAAGTTAAAAATGGGGCTGCTTATACATCAAAAGAAGTATGCTCTTGAGATCTTGAAGAAGTGTGATATGGATCATTGTAATGTAGCCATAACGCCGACTGAAGCAAGGTTGCAGCTGTCCAAAAGTGAGGATGAGCAAGATGTTGATCCAACTCAATATAGGAGGTTGATTGGATCCTTGCGTTACTTGTGTAATACGCAACCAGATTTGCTGTTTAGTGACAGTATTGCGAGTAGACTTATAGAGAAACCAAAGGTTTCTCATTTTGAAGTAGTTAAGAGGATCCTTAGATACATCAAAGGTAAAGGTACTATTGGTTGTGGAATTCTTTTTCCTGCAGCTGATACGGGCAGTTAAGAGGATCCTTAGATACATCAAAGGTACACGGATTCTAATTGGTGTGGAGATAAAGATGATCGAAAGTCTACGGCTGATTATGTCTTTATGTTCTGCGGAGCACTAATATCTTGGTGTTCTAAAAAGGAACTCGTGGTGGAACTCTCTTCTTGTGAGGCAGAGTATATCGATGTGTTGATGTGTGTGTCAGGCTGTGTGGCTTATGAATCTACTTAGAGAGTTGGGAAGCAATGAAGACAAAGTTGTCATGCTTTTGATTGATAATATTTTAGATATTAACCTTGCAAGGAGTCCTATTACACATGGGAGGAGTAAGCATATAGAGATGAGATTTTATTACTTGAGGGAGCTGGTTTATGAAGGCCAGCTGAAGCTAGGATACCGTTGAAGCGAAGAACAACTTGCGAATTTGTTGACAAAAGCGGTAATAAATAATGTGTTCAAAAAGCTTGTGAGGAGTTTGAGCATGAAGAATGTTGAACACTTGACTTAAGGTGGTGCATTGGATGTTACATATAAGTTAAGTGCCAACTAGAAGCCTCTGGAAGTGATTTTGGAAATAGCTTATTTGGATAATTTATTTTATGATAGTCCTGAAATTGGAAGTATCAAATAGGAAACTGGTTTCTTGATATTGTGGAAACTGGTTTCTGTCGCGAAAAATAGTTTTTCATGCTAGTTGACGGTGGCAGTTTTCTGTTGTGTTTTTGTTTGTTTTTTATTAAAAGCATGTGTATATATACTCTCTTGTAATACTTTGTTTGTTAATATCATTTGTTATATTTTTCTCCTCAATTACTCTCTAATAATCTCTATCTTTCTTTATCAACTTCATCTTCTCTGATTAATCCTTTTTCATCATTAATTCACCAACTTCATTTGTGTATGCTCTAACAAGAACCACCGTACAATTACAAATGCTCTTATAAAATTAATTTGATATTTTTGTGAAAACATATAAATAACTATATGATTTTTTAAATAAATTTACGCTATTATAATCAATATTTGAAATGTATTATTTTAGTTTATTTTAATTAAAATTTTATGATTTTTTAAGCTAACAAATTATTATTATTTTAAAAAAAAATATTATGCTAAAGAATTTCTTATTATCTCAACATATATTTAATAATTTAGAGACTCAAATATAAAATATATTTAAATTTTCTACAAGGAACATAATTTCTACAAGTATTGTTAATAAATGTACTGTGTAACTTAAGCACACATTTTTGGGCATCTTAGCATAACAAATCAATCTCTAGCAGGTAGTTGTTACCGGCATGCGAAAAGCTCGGAAATAAACCTGCAAAATATGCTCATACCTTCTGATTTTGTATAGAGATTAATAAACAATCTCATTGAATCTAGGCATTAGGATTGACAGACTTACATTCAAAGCTTTTGTTAAGAGCCTCACAAACTTCCTTGCAGCTCTCAATAACAACTTATGGTATGAAATTAATGTATTCCTCTTGTGTTCAAAAAATAGCTATGCAACATTCTACAACATTCTATCATGAGGCAACCACTTAAACATGAACCTGCTTGCAACAAAAATAAAATATTAGTTCCAACGCGCAAACACTTTATCATCGTCATCGTGCAACGTTCATCAACAAAAAATCTTATATAGCAAAAATTTGAAGAAAATGTGTTGGCGATTTTGTATCACCAATGTATTTTAGTAGTAATGTGATTTCTAAAGGCCGATGCAATTATGCGTTAAGTTCGGAGACGAGTTAGGGAAGTGCGGAGTGCACGCTCGTCGAGCCAATGCATAATTAAATACGAATAATTGAAACGGGGTTCCAAGGGGCGAAGCCCCTGGCGGGGTGCGGGGCAGCGCCCCGTTGGGGTTCCAAGGGGCGAAGCCCCTGGCGGGGTGCGGGGCAGCGCCCCGCGGGGTCCAAGGGGCGGAACTGTTCCCCAACGGACATAACTGTTTCCCAACGGACATAACTGTTTCGAACAAATGTGTCTCTTCGTTTTCAATTACTGTACTCCTATATAAGGAGTCGTTCGGCCTCGGTCTCGCACACAGGAAAAACGCATCCTTCTCTCTATAATTACAATTCGTTTTCTTTTGTCGGAAACAGAATTTCTTCGAGAATTATCCCCACAAAGATTTCGTGAACCCAGACAAGAATAGGGTCGAAATACTTTGTTCGGAAAGTGTACGAACACGATTCATCGAAGTTATCCAAGATTATCACACCCTAAATTTCTAACAAAATGGTGTATCACAAATACAGTACGATATAAAAGCCTTAAGTAACAATATGATATTAAATGCATTGTTCAAGAATGCATGTGTGCTTTAGAATTATGAGCCTTGATTACACTGGAATTAAAAGATCAGTCCCTCTTGGGAATATTTATCAATTTAGTCATTCTATTTGACCACTTACAATTAAATTAGTCTTTAACTTTATTCGAATTCCTTCAAATAAGTTCTTACATGTAAAATTTATGACCAACATTATATTCACCCAAATTTTATCAAATAAGTCATTTCACTTATGAATAACTAAAAATACATTCATCAATGTAGCTATTGTGTGAATTTTTCAGGAGTAGAATAATGGGACAGTTAATATTGATTTTTTAAAGACTAATGATTGCCTTATATCATCACACCTAAAGAATGCTTCAAATCTCCTACATGAAGCATATGTTCTCCTAATGCCACTTTTGTGTTACCAAGTTCATCCACCACACTCAAATCTTTACAAACATCTACTTTGAAACTGATCACTGCTTCTGATTTTCCTGTCAACTGCACTTTCTCAAAAGCCACCAAGTGTTTCTGTGGTGCATTGTGCACTGCTGGAGGGGTAGAGAATAGTAACACTGTTTGACTACTGCTCATTTTTCCTTTGTTCTTGATCCTGAGGTGAATATCAAAGGCCAAGTTTTGGCAATGCTCGTCCGCGACATCAAGTGACTTGCATTCTGAGGAACGGCATACATGGTCTTCAGATAAAGGGACAGTGACCAATTGCGGCACTTTAACCAATTTATGCTCGAAAGTTGAGTAACTTATTCCGTCTCCAAATGAGTAGACAGTTTCACCTTTGTAAAATCTGTATGATCTACCGGGGTAACCTGTAGCAGGATCAGGCCTCATGTTCATATTCGTCATCGGTACTTTGTCTACATATGATTGTGGATACCATGTCATAGGTAGTCTTCCACCTGAATTCAAAAAAAGTGATGCAAAAGTTTAAAATGGGAGTTGTTTGATTCAACAACTTTCAGTTACTGAATGCGTGAATGCATGTAATCGTGATATTAACTTACTTGGATTATGATACCCAAAGATAACATCGGCTATGGCAGCTCCACCAGCTTCTCCAGGATAGCCAACCCACAAGATGCTTGTGATTTTATCATTAGTTTTAGCAAATGAAACATCCATGCCTCCTCCAGACATTATAGCGAGAATCACAGGTCCTTTTGCAGCATTCGCAACTTCAGTAACTAACTGTTGCTGCTGTCCTGGAAGTAGAATGCTGACTCTGTCATGACTCTCTGCCTCTATCGCAAGATTCGCTCCGACTACAATCACAGTTGCATCTGCTGAGGCTGCAATACTTTTGGCATCATCTAATATAGCATTGGTGCATTGAACATCATGGCAGCCAGCAGCGTAGCTCGTAGGGACTAAAGCCGATAGGCCTTGCAAAGGTGATGTATATTTGCATGGAACGCCTGCAAAGTTTTAGGAACAAGTTAGTTTTGTCTATACATTTTGTCTTTACTGATTATAAGAGTTGGAAATTTGGTACCTTCATAGTTTCCAATCATGGCCCGAGTAGCATTAGCATTAGGCCCAATAACTGCCAATGATTTAATGGCGTTGGCATTTAGAGGCAATGATCCTGGACAATTCTTAAGTAACACAATCCCTTGCCTTGCAGCTTCGCGGGCGAGCTCCTGGTTTGCTAAAGTGCAGACATCTTTTGGGCCAAGGTTTCCATAAAGTTGCTTGCTAGGATCACCATCGAAGAAACCAAGACGCATTAATGTAGCGAAATTGTTGGACACAGCATTGTTAATGGCTGCTTCGCGTATAAGTCCTTGCTTGACAGCACCTTCTGTATATCGGCCAAGAAAACTTCCACAGTTCAAATCCAATCCTGCAAAATCAACATTTGTACACAACAATGATATTAAATAGTTGTTGCCTATGAATATTCGAATTTCTAATATTCAGATGTTACTCTTTACCTGCTAGAATGGATTTTGCTGCAGCTTCCTCAGGAGTCTTAGTGTAGTGCTGATTTTTGAAAAGCACGTCTACCGAGTCACAATCAGAAACTATATATCTGCAATAGCACATGCATATATAACATAAAGGAGCATGAGCTATATATATTCTGTTTACATCCAATGGAGCGCGAGATAAGATTAAGAGACTTGAAAAATGAAAAGATACCCGTTTAGTTTCCATTTTCCACGGATAACTCCTTTAAGAAGATCAGGATCAGCACAAGTCGGTTTTCCATTGACTTGATTATAAGAACACATGACACTAGCAACATTTCCATCAATCACACAGCTCTTAAAAGGTGGTTGGTATGTATCATCCAAATCTTGTTGTGTCACCTAACAAAATCAACGAAAATAAGAGTGACGAAAATGATTCTCCATATTCTATAGCCCTCAAACACAGATTAACTAATTTTCATTTCAACCAACGATAGAAGATAGATTACCACAGCATTGAAGGTGTAACGCTGAACACCTTTCCAGTCATCAACATCATAGGCAGTGTAGTGTTTGCAACACGCTGCAACCTTAAGCTTATTGGAATCTCCATCATCAGTTTGTTGCAGACCTTTTACATACCCTGCGGCGTATTTGCTAGCGAGTAAAGGGTCTTCCCCTGGTGTCTCTTGACCTCTTCCCCATCTTGGATCCCTAAATATGTTAATGTTTGGAGACCAATATGTTAAACCAGCCAACCCTACATTGTACATTGCTCTAGCTTCTGTTGAAACCACCTACAAATATTTTCCATAAAACAAAACACCATTTTAAAAACATGTAAGGTTTGATAAGAAAATAGAAGAAACGAGAGAAACCTCACCTTTCCTATGGTTTGAAACAACGATGTATTGAAAGAAGCTGCAATGGAAATAGGCATAGGGAAACTGGTTGATCCAGGAACAACATTTGAAAAACGAGTTCCTGGACCAACGTAAGAGACTCCATGAAGTGCTTCAGACCACCATTCATATTTCGGAATCCCAAGTCTGCTCACATTAGCAGCATTATTCACAAGGTTACCAACCTTCTCCTGCAATGTCAACCTCCTCACAAGGTCTTTCACCCTTGCATTCACTCCCAAAGACTTGTCACAGAACCCGTAATTCGCCAATGCTGGATTCTTGACAACATCGCAGGCGAAAACAGGCGATGCTTGGCTCGAAACTCGACCAAAACTCAACAAAATTGTTGCAAACAAACTTAAAAAGCATAGGAAAACAGATACATTAGAGGCCATAGTGATTCTGTGACCAAGAAACGAATCTGCTACTGATTTATATGTATCATATATATTAGAAAAATAGTGTATACAAAAAAGTTAATAGAAGTTTTTAGTAGCCCGTGATGTGTGTTATGACTTATGAATGAAAAAAGGAAGACTCTATTAATATATGTAAACCTTTTTGGCAGAGAGTGAACACAAATACATGCGAAGGAATCTCTGGCTGTGTAGCTTAAACTCGTCCGTGAAAACTGATCAAAAAAGAGAAAATCTTACTATGTTTCATGGAGTGTTTTGTTTTGTTTGGAAGCTCAACTTGCCGCATGTAGTATACAAGATAAAATAACATTATTGCATCATGTTCTATTATTATAATAACAACAATAAGATAATGGTTTGTTTTCGCATACTCTCTTTATTTAAAACATTTTTTTATACTTTTAATTTCTTCTATGTTAAGTTATATATCATATTTTTCTTCCTATTTTTTTTTTTTGTGACAATATGTTAGATCCATGGAAAGAGACTTATAACTTAACATACGTTAGGCAGAAGACACTCTTCTAATTTTTAGATAATTCTAAATTTTTTTATAAAAAGCTTTTAACTCATAAATCAAATTTATGTATGGTAGAAAAAGTCTTATAGGGAAATATAAAAGCATTATTATAGAACACAATTTAATAGATGTCTTAAAATTTTATTTTTAAAGTTGATGTTAAAATCTCTAACCTCCAAAGGTTGGTTGTCTTACTTTCAATTGATTTCTTTGATCATATACGCATATATAAAGTTTTGTCTAAAGTTCTAGCAAATCACCTGGGAATAATCGTAGGAAATGTAATCTCAAAGGCATAATCAAATTTTATGAAGGGCTGACAAATCTTGGATGACATAGTTATAGTTATAGTTAATGAAGTGCTGGACATTGTGAATTAGGAATTAATAGGCTAATCAGAAATTAATATTTGTCTTTACTGTGAATAATTTACTTTTTTTTAGAATAGAAGATGAATCATTATGATTTGTATTTAATAGTTATGAATTGTAATTATATGTAATTATTGATTCTATTATAATATAGTATGAAATGCAATAGAGAAATACATCAAATCAATTTTTCTGATATTATATAAGAAGGTTCGATCAAATCAAACATGTGAAATCATGTTATTTTGGTCTTGTTCAGTGATATTCATTGGGTCGCTCTCGAAATTTATTCTTCAATTCATATTCGTTGTAATTTTGTAATTATTTTTCAAAATTGTGATTGTAGTTGCTATAGTTGTTTGCAATTTTGTGTTGTCTATTGATTTTTTTCTCGGTGATTTTGTGTTGTGTATTCAAGCACGTACACACCACTTACACAATTTAAAAAAAATCAAACAATGTTGCACGTGAAGGTTACTTTATTTTATATAGTGATAAAACTATATTATAGACGCTTTAGTGCTCATACCATGAATACTGAATATGAGAAAATTTGATTTTGTGTTCATTTTATCGATAAGAATTATTTAATTTGTGATTTTCAATTAAAAAATCATGTCAAAGGAAAGAGACTATGAAGTCACCTAGATGTTGTCTCTAAGACACAAATAGGTAAAGTTGTATTAGATGATTGAGAAACCAAAGATGTTCAAATAATCACTTGGATCCTCAGTACTATTAATCCTCAAATGATCAATAATTTTTCCTCATTTTCAAATGTGCAAAAAATGTGGAGTTATTTAAAACATATTTACAATCAAGACAATATTGCTAACCGTTTTCAGTTACATTACAAACAAGGTATATTATCTATTTAAGAATATTATTTTGGTTTTCTGAATTTATAAACATAACAGTCCGCTCTTATACACGTTGATGTTCCCAAGACTTCTCTCGCGACTATTCAAGAGGTCTAAAATACAAGTAGTTGAGATCAATTTCTTATGAAGCTTCGTCCAGAATTTGAAATTGTTAGAGGTATTTTGCTAAATAGGAAACATGTTCCTTCTTTAGATACATGTGTAGGATAAACTCTAAGGGAAGAACAACGCCGTATTACTCAAGGAGTTATATCTCATGAAGTTGTTACTTTTGAGCCAGTGATGGTTGCATATGTTGTTCAAAAGTAGAGGCAAATGTCGTGATATGAGACAGATTCAATGCTTCTCTTGCAAGTAATTTGAACATATTGCTCATAGTTTCAGTAAGAAGCTTTGTAATTATTGTACGCATCAAGGGCATATTATCTATGAGTGTCCTAGGTGTCCTCCACGACTAACCCAACGTTTCGTGCATGCATTCCATGTAACTACTAATTATATAGTTGGTCCTTCCAATAGTGGTGAAGGGTGAGAAAACACTTAGAAGGGGGGGTTGAATAAGTTTTTCCTTTTTCTCGCGCAATACTAATGGAAGGACACAGGTATTTTTATCCTGGTTCGTTTGAAACTCAAACTACTCTAATCCACCCCTCAAGGTGATTTCGTCTCTCTCAACGAGGACTTAATCCACTATAATCAAATTGATTACAAATGCACAACCAAACTGTTGTGACTAACAATACAATGCACAAGCCAACTGCAAGTGACTAATACCTCTAAGACTCAACTAGTCCTAGCCCTCTTGAGAAATCTGACCCAACTGGTCTCTCAAGGAACACTTACAAAACTTATCTCTTAACAGTAGTGAATCAGAATGCTTCTAATAAGCTTTATCACAAACTGTGATTTATCACTAAGACTATTGCCCAATACTTAAGATTTACCCACTATACAATATTAGTTTACAAGAATGAAAACAGTGAGCGTTAGTATGTTTCTCGTGGATTAGTAACCTTTCTTTGAAACAAATGTTCTTCTATATATAGCTTCCAGTCTTGACTGTTACTTCCTTGAAGAGAGTGTATGCATTAATGATGTGTGTTGGCTTGGTCTTTATGTTTCTAATGTTCTCGTGCGTAGTACCACTTGAGTGTGTTAACCGTCTTAGCATTAAATGACCAACGGTACTGTCAGAACTTGTCTCTGGAAGTTTAAGAGTTTGCTTGCAGCGTTGTCACTTCAGAGTTTGCTTTTATCTTTTCTTCTCTCAGAGTTTTCTTCAATTTCTGTTCATCAGAGTTTGCTTCAGCTTGCATTATCATATGTTGCTTTCAGCGTGCTTCTTTTAAATTTTTGCTTCAGCTAGCTTTATCAGAGGTTGCTTAGGATCAGTGGTTGCCTTTGAGGGCTTCCTTCAGATTTTGCTTTAGACTTGCGTAGAATGATGTTTCTCTTTTGAAATGCATGAGTCAGAATATCATCTGAATTTAGAGAACATACACATTAGAGTATAAAATATATTTCACAAAATTTGTTTCATTGTTATCATCAAAACTCTAAGATATGATTAGAATCAAACTTTGTTCTAATAATCTCCCCCTTTTTGATGATGACAAAACAATTTAAATTTTGATTAAAAAAAATTTGTGCGAGAGTGAGAATCTCCCCCTGAGATTGATAATCTCCCCCTGAGATAGATATTTCTTCTTCTGAAAAAAATAATCAAAGAATTTAAAAGCATAAGGGAAACTTCTTGAGATTGCTCTTCAGAGCTTTGAGACATTTTTCTTTCAGAGTTTCTTTAAGAGATCTTTTCCAGATGATGTTCAGAGCTTAGTCTTTCAGAGTTTTGAGGTACATGCATATCTCTTAAATAGAAAAGAACTTTGTATTTTGTTAGGAATGTTTGAGACTTAGTCCCATAACTGTTATCATGGATCAGATCGAAATCTTATTTTCTCCCCCTTTTTGTCATAATCAAAAAGCAAAAAAAATAAAGAGATTCAAAATATTTATATATTGAAGTTTCAAAAGACTGAGGTATAAAACAAAAACAACAAGAAAATTGGAAAAAGAAATTAAAACTAAGATTGATGAGAGACAAGAGAAAGAAGAAGATTCTTGATTTTATTTAAGGATTCCTCTTGTTTCATCATCCAAGTTCTGATTTCCTTGTTGGTTTCATCCTGTTTGTCTAAACGTTCATGGATGGCTTTATTTTCCTTCTTCAGCTCATTCAGAGTGTCAAGCACTAGCGAAGAGGGAGCAGGTGTTGAAGCAGCTTCAGAAGATACAACCTTTAGAGCAGAAGCAGCAGAGCCTGAGCCTACAACATTGGAGAGGAGGGTGCCAAGATCAATCAGAAGAGTTGGCACTTTCTCAGAGGCAACTTGAGCAGAAGATTGGTGATACAGAGTCATTGCCAATGGATTGGGATCTGACTCAGAGCCATCTTCAGATTAATCTTCTGAAATTTCCATGTGGTCAGCAAGTGGTAATGAAGCGTTGGTAATCTGTAGTGGAGACTTTTTATCCCATACATTTACCACTTCTATTTTGAAGGCATTCAGATACTGGGTAAAATTCTCAAGAACCTGAGAATAGAACAGATCTTGCAAATTGAAGGATTCATCATTGAATTTCCTTCTGAATGATTCCCACTGAAAATCACATGCAGCTGGGTTCAGGTTGCTGGCACTGTTTGCCTTCAGCAGGTCTATCCACGTCTGCATTTCTGTTGCAAAATTCTGAAAACGTACAGTAACATCTGACTGAACAGGTTTAGGGTTTGGTTTGAGAACAACCTTTTTGGTGGATTTTATTTGCAAATAGCGTAGAGATTCAGGATCAACTACGGTCCTAAGAAAGTCAGAAGGTTCAGATGGTTCAGGAGGTTCTGATGAGAATGTACTAAAGGTTGGTTCTAAAGAGTGAGGTGATGAGGGTTCAGGTGAGGGAGGTGTGGGAATTTATGGTGACGTAGGAAGGGTGATGTTAGGAGAGATGATGATGGTGGTTTGGGCTGAGGAAGAAGGAATAGGTGTAGGGGATTCATTCACAACAAAAATGTTTTCAGAGGGAATGATGAAGGACATAAGTTGTGTGGCCAGAGGCACATTTATTCCTGGTAATCTCCAAGAACCATCATACCACTCAGAGGATCTTGGGGATAAAGGTCTGATGGGGGATGGTGGAAGAGGGTTT